CTGGCTGCATCCCAGAGGCAGCACATCCCCAGCACATGGAGGGGGTAGCAGCTCCCACAGCAGTTGATGGAGACCTCATTCAGAGCCACTAAATTATGAGTTTTAAAGCACAAGATGGTGAGGAAGAGGAGCCCAGAGGGGCAGAAATCGGGGTGCTGTCAGCACCCTGAGCAGGCTCCCAGGAGGGACGAGAGGCTGCACGAGAGAGCAGGGTCCGGTCCAAAGGCAAGGCCTGAGAGCTGCTCATGCAGCCCCAGAGGGACAGGCATCCCTTGCTCCATCCCATCCCAGCTGAGAGGCCATGCCACTGTCACCTGACCACACAGTCAGGGTGACATCAGTGCCACTGCACCCTGCCTCTGTCCAGGGCCCCGTGACTAATTTGGGATTCAGCGACCATTTTTAATAGGCAGATATAAATACTCACGGGCTGTCAGCTATGAAAAAGGACCCTGCCTCGTGCCCTGCTGCCAGGCCAGGAGGCAACACGAGGGACACAGACCAACCCTCACTGGTGGCCACAGGAGAGAGCAGAAACCCCAGAGGTCACTGGGACATCCCCAGTTTCCATCCCGCTGTGAGGATGTGGTGCACACCTTGCAGGTGGCCCAAGCCAGCTCGTATCCAAATTGTGAACATCAAACCAGTTTCCCGGCGCCCGTGATGTCCCCAGGAGAGCGGGGGCGAGGACACCGGCCCCGGCCCCGGCGGGGACTGGCTGTCACACCTGCGCCTCGCATCCCACAGAGCCGCAGCTCACGCTGTCACGGCGGCCTCGGCTCTGCTGAGCGGCACAAACCCGATGGAAGCCTTGTGCTGAGTCGTCCCTGGGGACTGCCTGCTACCGTACGTTCCCATGTCCCCGCCTGTTGCAGTGTGATGTCATGACTTGCCTCAGTTTCCCCTGGTTTCTCCCTGAAATTTCCTTCCCCAGGTGGGTTGTCAATCACCTTTTCCCCACCCTTGACCTCTGCTGGACACTGTCCATCAACCCAGAAATTCCAAGGAGAGCGTTGAGCAATTGGCAGGTTCAAAGGATGCTCTCCTCCCCCTGGGGGGCCATTGGCCCACCCAGGTGTCCCTCTCACCTGAGACCCCCTCCCCCTGTACCTGGCTGGTGCTCCCTGGGTCCCCTCCCCTGCCCCTCTGCCCAGGTGAAAGGACAAGCAGAGCACGCAGTCGGGGTTCTGGTGGAGTTCTGTTGGAGAGTTCATGGGAGTTGTTGGAAGATGCAGAGGCCGTGCCACCAAAATAAAAACTCTGGATTAAAAACTCTCCATCAGGACCCACTCCTTTCTTCCCCTCGCCTCAAAGGTTTCTCCAGCTCAGGAAGGCCTGAGCAGTGACCCCCTCTGCATGCCCGGACTGTCCCCACGTGCTCAGCTGTGACCACAGGCACTGAACAGCCTCTCTGGGGAGAAAACACCACAGGTGCCCTATTCGGTCAGCAGCCGAGCCAGACAGCCCAAGGCAGTCCCGCAGTAATATCGGTACACTCCAATACCCGCCGCTCCCTCCCAGCCCCACATCCCTCAGGCAGCCCCCAAAGCCTCATCCATCCCACAGGGATGTGCAGCCCGATTTCTGCACGCCTATCGATTCCTCCTTTATACTCTTCACCCCGTATTGATCCAGTTTAGCTTCTGCGACTCAAACTAAATTAGCTGCCGTTAATCCATGGATAATTGCAGCGAGCTCAGCTCTGCCTGTCCCAGATTCAGGGACGGGGAGGAGAGTGCTGGGTCACACAGAGACATTCAGGTTTCTCCTCCGCGGGTAAAAACCCCAAAAAAGCCAGCAGGCATCAGCCCCGAGGCACGAGGGAAGTTGTCTCAGGACATCCGTGCTGCAGCCAGAAACTATGGCTGGGAGCTGCTGTTCCAGCAGGAATTTGGCCCCAAACCCAAGCATTGCCTTCCAGCTCTGGATTTCCCCAAGCCTCAGAATTCCTGTGGGTTTTAGTCTCAGGTGATACCATAAAATATTGCTACTTGCTCCTGCCAGGCTGCAGCACACAAGGAGTTAACTCCAAATTCCACCCAGCTATGGTGAGAGGCGCAGCCCCAGCGCTCCTGGAGTCTTGGATAAAACCCGATGGAAAGCAGAGCCTGTTCCCCTTTGATCAGCAGCCCAGGCTCCCTGGGAGCCCTCAGCATCTCTTGCCTCCAATTTAGCAGCTCACAAAGTGCCGAAGGCAGTGGAGATGCCACTGTCACCTCACCTGCACTGACAGCCTGGCACAGCACCTGGGGATGTCCCCATGCTGATGGCAAGGCCATCTCTCCACTGCAGTTCTGATTCCTTTGTACACCCCCAAAACCCCCTCCCACAAACCTGCACCCTCAACTCTGGACATCCTCCTTGCCCTTTTGTAAAGCCTCCAAAATAAACATTTAATTTTGATTTAATGCAACAGTTACCACAGTCAGTAAACACCAAAACTATAATAAAGGAGGATTAATGGCCACATACACCCCCTGCCCTGGCCTGCAATGGCCAAGTGTCCATTGCATAACCCTTAATTGGTGCTGATGATCTCCTGCTATGCCACAAAGCCTTCAGCCATCCCTCCCCAGCCCTCCCTGCCTTCCCGGATGTGGCCAAGGTTGGCAGTCCCTTGAGAAATGGGTGGGATTGCTGTAGATGCCAGGCAGGAATGGGAGATTTCCAAGTGGGAAACTGATTCTAAGCATTGGCCTGTGGGCGCAGAGCCTGTTCAGAGCAGCTGAGCATTACATGGGGATGACAGTCCCCAAAATACCTTGGCCAGTGCACCTGCAAAGGCAGCCAGCCTGGGGTGAGCTGCGAGCTCCCCTGCACAGCTCTGGAGACACAGGGGCTCTGGGAGTGGCCAGGCAGGGCACATGCTCCAGGGCCATGCAGAGGTGGCACAGGGTTTGGATAGAAAAGGCCAGGATTCACTTTTGTGGGAGAGGAAACTAAAGCAGAAGCTGAGCCACAGGGGACACCCCCCCGGAGTCCCCACAGCACAGCCTGGCTGTGTCCACTTAGTCCCTGGCAGCAATCTGCACAGAGGGTCAGTTAAAAAAGAAAGAAGCGTGTTTTGAGCAAGCGTCAGCCAGCCTCAGCTGCAAATTCACTTGTCAGGAACATTGGAATTACTTTGAGCTGGATGGTATGAACAGCTGTGCAAGGCAAGTGCTGAGGCAGGGAAGGGTGGTAGGAGCTGCTGAGCCCCCCAGCCCCCTCCACTGCCTGCAGATGCTCCATGGGATGCCAGAGGAGGGCTGGTGCAACCCAACATGTACCCCCACCCACATCCTGCTGCAAGGGGACAGTAGCAAACACCCCAAATTACCCAGGAGAGGAGGCTGGAACTCAGGGGATTCTCCATGGCAGCTTGCTGGCTGCAAATTCTCTCTGGATGAATACTGGAGTAACTGGGCTCAACAGTACAGGATTGGCTTTGGAGGGACTCCTCATATCAGCCCCACATCTCCTGCCCCCCTGCACCTGCCTGTCATAGGTTCCCCTGATATTTTGGGGCATTATGAAGCCTTTCAATCACTTTCAGAGCAACCAGTGAGCAGCACTTCCAAACCCCCTCCTGCAGCAGCCCCCAGCTACCAAAATCTGCCTGTTCATGCCCAAAATAACCCCCAGGCAGGAGCTAATCATCCACTCAGGCATAAGCAGATCAGTGCTCAGGTGCTGTTTGGCCACCTAGGTGTGTGGCAATGGGGTGCTCAGCTGTGCCAGACGTGGGTGTTCATGTATGAATTAACCATGTGCCCAGCTTAAGAAACCTCATTATTTCGCCCAATGTACCTTCTCAAAGGCATTGCAAATTGCACTCCCACATATGTTTCGGATGGGGGTGTTGACACTGGAGCAGGATCCAGGCTTAGGACACCCTTCTCCATTCCCTTTCTCCCACAGATGCAACATCCCCCACAACAAACAGCTTTCAGAGCCCATCTCCCACTGATGTCACTTCAATGCCACAGGAGATAACAGCTGAGAGATCCAGAACCAGTGCTGGGTTTTCCAGGGAACATTATTTAGAGGTAAAGCCTCATTAGCACAGCAAGGGTGGCTGCTTATGCTGCCTCCCCCTCACCCCATGTGCCCCAGAGCCCCAAAGGGACACTGTGGGTGTCAGGCCTCCCGTCTGCCTTGCTGGTCTGAGCAGTGGGGCGCCCTGCACATCCCCCAGTGTAAGTTTTAAACGTTAAAGCAGGTGTTTATACAAAAAAGATGCCAAGGGAAAACCTGTTTCTCCCCATCCATGGCTGCTGGGGCTCCCACGTGAGCCCAGAGCCCTGGGATGGAGGAAGTCCCCCTGTGCCATCTGCAGCAGCCTGATGGCAAACCCAAGTGTTTGTGGGGAAAAATCAGCACATCAGTTTTCTGATGTGTTTTTGGAGAGCTTTTTTGACAGCTCTGCAGCTGGAGGAGCGGGGGAGCACAGGATGCTGCCTCCAGCCACCCTGAGCCTCTGCAGTGGTGGAGAAAGCCTCTGCATCTGCCACCAAAGGGAATGTGGGAAGGGATCAGGCAAACAGACACTGGGAAGTGGCACAGGACCCCTGAGCCCGGAGATCCCACTCCATCGTCCTCCTGAGGGCCTGGGTAGGCTGGGCAGCACACACCAGTCCTGTCTTCTGGTAACTGCCCCAGAAAACAACCCTTGCAGCAAAACAGCATTTGCCATGAAATCAGCAGGCTGGTGACAGGAAAGGACAGGAAGCACCACTGGGAGGGTTTAACCACTGCAGCCACTAATGAGGAGCAGCACCCCTGGGTGCCCCAGCTCCGAGCCTGGCCAAGGGCTACAAGGGTCCAAAAGGGGAGCTGCAGTAGGACTCAAGCAAAGCCACCCCCTGCTAAGGCCATAAAGCCCAGGGGTGGCTCCAGGGACAGGCAGAGTGTGGGAAGCATAGGACATGGCCACCAGCACCCAGGGACAGCAGCAAGGCAAAAGCACTGGGAGGACAGAGGTGCCACAACAACAGTTATTCATCACAAAGAACTTCTCATTCTTTTTTGTTTTGTTTTATTGAGAGGTGAAGCCAATTCATCCTGACAGAGGTTCACAGCATAGCTCTGCCTGGGGGCTGCTCACAGAGACACCAACGAGCAACGCAGGATGGGAGGAAAGCACCCTGTGTCTGTGCTACAAGGGGCTGGTGGGCACCAAAATGTCACCCCAGCACCGTGCCACCAGGGGGACAGCTGCCACTGTGGCATCTGTGTGGGCTTCCCCACAGGCACTCAGCACCAGCCCTGCTCTCCGAGGATGCTCTCCCGGCAAACACAAACCAACTCACTCTGAGCACTTCTGAGGACGGGTGTCAAATCAATCCCCACAGCAGAGATGCCAAGCTAAAAAAAAAAAAAAAAGATGGCAAAAAAACCCAGCAGAAAGTAGGCGGACATCTGCCAAACCAGCAATTTTCAGCTGGATTTCCAGAAACACTTCAGGCTTTTAAAACCAAGAGAAGAGAGAAAACAAAACCCCTCCACTCAGATGAAGTGCAAAATTCCGACGTGACTTCAAAGGCATTTCTCCTGGCTAGTTACTCCCAAATCCTGGCACAACCCACTAGAAAGCCAGTGGGCAGTACCATTTTGCTGCCAGATGACAGCACCCAGCCAGCTGGGGTGTGAGGTACTGTGCTGGGGGAGCCCAGGGTGTCAGAGGGATGCTAAAAACCTGGTACTCACCCATTTGGAAGCAGGGAGGACAAGAAGGGAAGGAGGGGAGAAAAGAGAGGATAAACTTTACATCAGTTGTAATCAGCAGGTTTTATCCATGCACTATATATTAAGTTAATGTATGTTACAATCTCCTCTGTAAAGGAAAAATACCAGCTGTTGTAGCCAGCAACATTTTTAAGAGCACTTGACTCCCAAGTCATCCAGGTGCTTTTGACAGTGTTACCCTGGGTTGCTATAGGAACCCTAACAGTTTTCCCATCTGACTCCTCCATTAACACTGGGATTTATATTTAATTTGGTTTCTTTTTCCTCAGCAAGAAGAGGTGAGAAGCAAGCATGCATACAGGGCAGGAGATGCTCCTCCATGGGTGTCTCCTGGACATACCAAAAACAGGACCCAGGACCACAGTCAGTTGTGCTGAGACACTGCTGAAGCAACAGTGCAAGCAGTCCCCAAGCCACTGCAGGTGGGGAAGGGCACAGCCCCACTGCAATGCTAGGAACCATCTGGGGTAGTGATCAAGTTGCCTCTGTTATGGCGCTCTCCCATGCTACCATGCCAGTCTGTCCCACTCTTCCCTTCCCACAGGCAGCAGGATGAGAGGCTCATGGGCTGAGCATCCCACGCAGCTCATGGACAGAGGTGACAGGCAGGGAGCAGGTGAAGTTGCTGCAGATGTAGGCAGTGGCTTTCCCATCCTTCCTCTCCAGGGATGCAAGGAAAGGCAGCTGGCGGTAGAGGAACCCGGCGCTGTCTCCATCTGCGACCATCAGCACCTGCCCAGAGAAGGAGCTGTGAGAGCCAGAGCACAGCCAGCTGGTCCTTCCTGCCCCACTGACATGCTGAGGGCTGGCAGTGTCCCCCCACACACTCTCTCAAAATGGGGAGGGGATGGGGAGCTGAAGGGATCCACTCCAGCCCTCTGCCACGGTCCCACAGTGGTCACATCCTTATAATGCCAGTGCAGGAAGAAGCATGATGGAGATGAGGCAGCTTTGCCTTCCTTAACCACACCAGACACTTGGCAGCCAGGATGAAGCACAGGGATAGCCAGCTCCTTGGGGACACCTACCCAGCCAAAGAATAGCCCCAGAAACAGCTGCAGCATTGCCCCATCCAACCTGCAGCCCAGTTCCTCCTGCCCTACCCACACCTCCCAGGAAAACTCAGGCAGCAATGAGCAGTGGGTCAGGGGCTCTCCCAGTTGACACAGCAGCATCAGCCAGAGGTGATGACTGGGCTGCCAGGATAATTAGCTTTTCTGAAAGGGAAAATGTTTGTTAAAGCCTCAGGGCTTACAGGCTAATCAGGAGAAAGGCCAGGAGCTGGCAGCGAGCCTCATGCTGAGGCAGATGCAAAGAGTGAGCAAAAGGCTGTCTCTTCCCAAGGCACAGAGGGAACATCCTGCTGCTGGAGCACACAGCTCTCCCTTGCCTGCCCCAACCCAAGCCCTGCATGTGTCTGCTGAGCATGGACACACCTGCAACATGTCCCTACTACTCACGCCAATGCCAAGGGATGCTGACACCAAATGCTGCCTCCCACAGCACACACACTGTAGCACTGCTCACCTGGCATGCAGCATCCTCTACACCAGAGCCAGCAGAAGACCCAGCACTGACATCCAGAGACTCCCACACAGCCTCACTCATGCCTAGCAGGGGCTGCCCACACCCTTGTGTTCCCAGGGGGGCACCACATCCCCAAGTCCCTGCCCTGGATAGTGGCTGCTGCAGTTCTGTCCTATCCCCCATCATCCCACATCTGCTCGACCCAGCTCTGGTTCAGCCTGTCTCCCTGCCTGCCTCCTGCTCCCCCCAATCTCCTCCCCCTTTGCCTTTGTCTGGAATTAATTCCAGGAGTGATTAATTACCAATTCATGTCTAATCTGAAATTCATTATTCATTTTTCTCAGAAGCTCCCCAAGGTCCTCTCACAGGGCCAGGATAAAGGCGAGTGGCAGGCGAGTACTCTGCAGAGGAGATAATGGGATCCTTCCTAATTACCCTAAAGACCATTAACAGGGCAGGGATCCATACCAGCAGCTGGGATCCAGCTCCAGAGCAGGGAACGAACCCTCACTGCTCCCAGCACCAGGACACCAACAGGAACAGCTACCAGCATCACCCCTACTTGCATCCCCAAAGAGCTGCCTGCAGCCAAGGGCTGCTCCAGACCCAGGGTCCATTCAAAATCACAAGCTCAATGCAATTTTATCATTAGCATCTTGTTACAGCAAGGATTTCAGGGTGAGGTTTGTAAGGAATTAATTACTGGAACAACCTAATTAATTGTGTTCCTGCACGCAAGCCTGGCCCCCAGAACTCTGCTGGCACAAAGGGAGTGGGGACACAGGGGACACAGATGTTCCCCCAACTCCTTGGCAAAGGCAATTCCCAAATCAGCCATGTCCCTGGAGCAGTGACCCAGGGCTGCTCTGCTTAGGGCAGCTTCCCGAGGCAGGGAATGAGATCTGAGGAGCAGCTGGAGGGGGATGGAGGCAGATGGGAACGGGAGCATGCTCATGTCTGTGTGATGCAGCATGGAAAGAGGGACAGCTATTGGGAGGCAGTGGGCTGCTCCCAAAGGCAGTGCAACTCTCTGAGAAGTGGGATTCTCCCCCCTTCCTCCCATCACCTCTGCAAGGTGAGGAGCCATTGCTACTGCCAGAGATCATGCTCCTACCACTCCTGCACACTCATGCTTGGGGAAGGGGAGATACATGTCCACAGGACTATGCTCCTCTGGGGGAAAGCTTTTCCCTCCTGCCACAATTCTTCTTCCAGGAAACAAACCCAAGCTGGAACAGCTTTGGCTCCATCCCATCATCACAACATGAGGAACACACAAGGGGCAAACAGAGCTAGACTCCCACCCTGCCTGCTGCCAGCTTCCAGCTGCAGCCTCTCACGTGCCCCTCAAAGCATAGGTCCCCTGCAAGCAGCCCTGGCAGGCATGACCCCATGGAAATACCATCCAGAATACCCAGCCCTCATCTTCTCCCTTCACCAAGGAATGCAGAAGTTTGGAGGGGAAAGGAACATCCCCACCAGCCAGGCTTGTTACCAGCTCTGCAGGAGGGAGCCAGACTGCAGGGAAGAAGAGGACATGGCTGTGCTATTTGTTCTGCTCCAGAGCCCAAAACTGCCAGTGTGGGCTCAGTGGACCAAGGGCTGAACAGCTGTGGGCAGAGGGTTATTAACAGTGGTGCTGGGCTCCTGCTCCTGCAAACTGGGTCACCCAGTGTAATCCTTCAAAGGACAGAGGATGAGTGCGGGAATAGAGGCCTCGCACACAAAACAGGGACCTGCATGCAATAAGAGTGCTGCTGATGGGTGATGGCAGAGGAAGGACAGAGAGCTGTGTGCCCCACTCGTGCCCCTGGAATGAGTCCCCCCTCCTCCAATGCTGACATTAAACATCACTGAGCACACAGGCCAGGTCAGGAATGACACCCCTGTGGGCTGAGCTAACGAGAATACAGAGCAGAGGATTCTGTGCTGATGGCCCAGCCCTCCCCAGTTCATCCTAGCTGGGGTTACAGAGGCAAACTGCTTTGGCCTCAGCTCCCCAGACACTGAGATTGAACATGCCAGTCCCTGGCACCAGGACCCAATGGCCAGGGATGAATCCAATCCAAACACCAAGCCCCCTCACTCACAGCCCAGTCCTATTTCCCTCAGCTCCACAGCTTTGCTGAGGTCAAAGGCAGCATTCCCAAGGCAAGGACCCTGCCCACCAAAGCTGATGGACACCAGCTGCTGTGCTGCCCTTCCCTGGCAGCTCCAGAGGCAGCCAACAACTCCAGCCCCTCTGTGGGATGCACTGATACATCTCAAAGCAGGGATGAGGACAAGCAGAGCCAGGCAGGAACCCCAATACACAGCAACAGCTGCTGAATGGGAGAACAGCTTTGGGAAAATCCAGCCTCTCCCAGCTGGTGGTACCCAGAATTGGAGTGAGGCACTGCCTCATCCCTTCCAAGGATGCGAGGGTGTCTCCAGGCAGCAGGTGACCCAGATACTAACTGGGTCTGCACAGGACATGACACATCCACACTAGGCATGACACATTCACACCGGAATGAAAGGTTTCCCCTTGGGAAAGAACTGGGCTTTACACTGAGAGCAGTGTAAACAGCCAGCAGCAATAACAAGCACTCCTGCAGCCACTTCTGGGCTGGGCTGCCCATGCTCTGTGCAGGGCATGAAGAGTGTAGGGCTCAGCCGTGGCCCTGTGGCTGTGCTTAGAAATGAAAAGGACAGGATGCTTCCCAGACAAGAGGCAGAGCAGAGGAGGATGGGTGCAACAGCTGCACTGAGAGAAAGGATGAAACACCAGCAGTGCAGTCAGCAGAGATCAGGGAAGGGCTGGCAGGCAGGCAGCACCTCTACCTTGTTTGGGCTGAAGACAGAGCGGATGCAATGCAGCATCTCTTTGGTGTCTTCTCCTTGGGGGTCCCCACAGATGACGACCTGTCCAGGGGGAGGGTGGGTGGCAGGAGGGAGAAAACAGAGCTGTGACCACACCCATGCCACTGCCAGCCCCACGTCCTACAGCAGGTCCTGCAGGGACAATGAGCCCCAGCCCTTACCTGTTTGAGGGTGTGATGGAAGACAGCGGTGGCCCGGACCATCTCTGGGAGGGTTATTGGGATCTTCTGCAGCCTCTCTGAGAAGGCAGACAAGATCTTGCCAGCTTTTTCTGCCCAGTCCGTGTGACCAGAGTAACAAGCTGCTCGGAGCAGGTTTGTGACAGCGACAGAGTTAGGGGTGGGCTCTGCTCCATCTTGGTCTGCAAAGGACAACATCTGCCATCAGCCCAGTGCCTCACCACCATCTGCCACCAGCCGGGTCCTCCCACACCACAATCCATGGAACACACTGCCAGGTCCCGGAGCTCACCGTCCTTGAGACGCAGCAGCAGGGAGGGATCGCCGGCCTCAGTGGAGAAATAAGCAAAGCCTTTAGGGTCCCAGAAGAGCTTGTCTTGCATGTGCTGGAGATCAAGGGCCCACTCCAGCCAGCTCTGCTCCAGTGAAGCCTCATACAGGTCAAAGAGTGCCTGGATGACAAAGACATAGTCCTCCAGGAAGCCCTGGATGGGCACAGTGCTGCAGTGGCAGAAAGGGAAGGAAAATCAGAATCTCTAAACTGAGCAGGTTAGAAATGTTCTCCAACCCAGCAAAGCCCTGATTACTGGTCTCTGATACCCAAGGAGATGCCACCAAGCAAAGCAATGGCTGTGGCCATCACACAGCTCAGCCCCAGGGTTCTGTACAGGAGAAGGTAGGTGAAGACACTTGCCAGCATGAAAGATGAGGAACAGGAAAGGTTTTGACTTCAATTCTTCCTCACTGGCTGGGGGACACTAATCCTTCCTAAACTGCACCAGAGCTCTATACAAAACAAACAGCCTACCTCCCTCCCAGTTCAGTCCTGCCTGGAAGAGAGGACAGGGACTGCTGGGGGTCTGGGCAGCACCTGCAGGTGGCCAAAGTCTGTGGAGTCTGATACTCACCTCTGCTCCACTGAGTTGTGCTCGCCCCGGTAGCAGCTCCGCAGCAGCCTCCCACTGTCAGGGTCGAAAAGGTGTGTCCTCAGGAAGGCAGCTGCCTGTGCAGCCCTGCTCACATATCCCTGCTCAGACAGGGTAGCCCCAGCCTGGGCAAAGCCTGAGATCATCAGCCCTGCAGAGGCAGAGACAGCAGGACAGGTCAGGGGGGGCACACAGAACTGGTGAGAGGGTCACTGTCAGTCTTCTGAAGGAGGCTCAGCATAAAGCTCTTCCTCCCTGATGCCAGCAGGTCAGGTCTTAGCCCTTCTGGTCAGCTCCAATCACTAATGAAGTCACTCACTGTCACCAAAGACATGGGCCAAGAGCCCTCACTTGTGGGCAGATACAGGGCTCAAGCCTATTCCAGTTTGCAGGATAACTCCAGCCCATGCCAGCTCCAGACCCAGGAATTTACTGCTGGGAACAGAGCCGGGGGTCCTGCAGTGATTCCCTGAGGCAGGACCCCCAGACAGACAAAGTGCTGTGTTCCCTCACCCATGCAGCAGCAGGGATGGGCTCTGTGCCCACGAGGGTCCTAGGTCCCCAACTCAGGCTCCTTCCCCAAAGCTCAGCCAGAGGAGCTGGACTGAGCCAGGGGAAGAGTTTTGCTGCTCTCTGCTGGCAGCTGGGGAAGGAAATAAAGCCAGAGCAGTATCCCGACGCTCCCAAGGCTTGCAGGTGTGGGGCTGCTTCCACACAGCCCCTGATCACAGGTCCTGATCACAGCCTACCCAGTGCCTCTGTGGGAGCTTCTCAGTGCCAGCAAGACCTGGTGCTACCGTGCCCTGGCGGGGGTCCAGCCAAGGCAGGTGTCCTCAGAGCAGAGCCACCTCTCACCATTCCATGCTGCCAGCATCTTGGTGTCCAGGTGTGGCCGTGGCCGCTGTGCCCGGGCTGAGGACAGTCTCTGTTGGCATTCCTGCAGCAGGGCACTCAGCTGGCCTGGCTCCAGCCCAAATCGGGCTGCTGTCAGCTCCGGGGAGCCGCGGGCAATGAGGACGTTCTTTCCCTTCAGCTCCTGATGGGGGTCCTGAAGGGAGAGGGAGACACATTCTAGGAGTGCCATCAGACTTGGGAGGTGTTGCATTCCGAGTGTTTTGGGGCTGCTCTGCCATCCCTCCATGCCTATGGATGCAGGTCCCTCATCAGTGCTCCTGACACTAGGCAAGTCTTTGTTCTCCCTCACCTTCATGGGGTCTACGTTGCCAGCCTCTTCCACTCCATAGTGGTGCATGAAGACATCTCCCAAGGTTGTCCCCTCTGTGGCCCCCTCGACAGGGTCAGGGAGGAGAGCCCGGAGCTCCTCGGCTGCCCACACACAGAAAGCTCCTTCTCGCTTCTCTCTAGATGTGCTGCTTGGGTAGGAATCTGCATCTTCTGCACTATAGAAACCTCCTGCCTGGGAAAAGCGCAACAGAGAGATCCTCCAGCTCCAGGACAGCACTTTCAGCCAGCTCCCCATCCCTGCAGGGCTGGCAGTCTGGCCAACGAGCCTCAGTAGTGCTCCAGACTGAGCTCAGCTGAGATGGAAGGGAGGGAAAAACAGCCTCAAGCCACATCCCAGGGTAGGGTAACTGGCTCCCTTTGGCTCACCTCAGGGAAGAGCCTACCTGGTCACTCAGGTCACGCGAGACGTAGAGTAGAATGTCTCGGACAACATCAGCAAAGAATTCATCACCAGAGATCTGCGGGAGACACAGGGTGGACATCAGTGGTACATGGATGGGAGAGGACAAGAGACACAGCAAAATATGGTGAGATTTCAATTTGAAGAGTTGGCAAAGGAGCATTTGAAAGTCCAATGATTTTAAATGAGGGATGGATTCAGAGTAAGACCTTCAACAAAAATCTACTATCAGAGAGTACTGCATATCTACAAAGGGCAGTGGAGAGTAATGCTGGAGTCACACCGAGGTCAGAGGCAGCAGCATTGTCTGCTGATTTGCAAAGACCAGCCCAAAGCCTGTTTCCTCCCCCATTATGCTCAAAGCCCTGGGGCCACACGGTCATGGGTTTGTACAGCACTTCTGGATAAACAACAGGAGATGAAGGGTAGCATTGGATTGCTCCATGCCCATGGGATTGGGAATATCTTGGGGAAGAGGCTTTGAAGCTGCTCCCCAAACCAGGCCAGTCCTCGCAGCCTGCAGGAGTGGGAGCCACACAGAGGGATGCCAAAGCTGTACCTGGAAGGCTTTGCTGTACATGGCTGCCAGCTGCCCCTGGTCATAGAGCATCTTCTCAAAGTGAGGTACATGCCAGTGCTGGTCCGTGGAGTAGCGGTGAAACCCCTGCAGAGACCATGTGAAGACATCTCCACCTCACATCTCCACCTCACGCCTCCTGGCCATGACAGGGCTTACCTCCAAAGATTTACTCCTACCTGACCAATGTGGTCATGAATGCCCCCATGGGCCATCATCTTGAGGGTGTGCAGAGCCATCTGCAGTGCCCGGGCACCTTCTGGAGTTGTTCGGTGCAGGGCCCAGTATGTGAACAGGAAATTCAAATTCACTGAAGCACAGGGAGATAACGGGAGGCTGTAGGGTGAGCTCTGCCCCCACACTGCTGTCTGCCCCACAGCAGGTCTCAGCAGAAGAGACCAGACTGACCTGGGGTGGGGAACTTGGGGGATCTGGAAAATCCACCATAGTCCTCATCATAGGATCTGGAGAGCTGCTGGAAACAGATGTCCATCACCTCTTTGGCTGGTGGGGGTGACTCCTGGCCCTGAACACGGATCTCTGATGTGTGTCGCAATGCTTCCAGAATCCTGTGGCTGCTCTCCAACAGGGCATCTTTGTTCTCCTTCCACTAAAATGCAAGGAGAAAAAGACAGTTCTTCTTGCCTTGCACCAGTCCAAACCACACCTCCAGTTCTCAATCACCCTCCCCAAATCAGCTCAAACCCACTTCTAACCAAGCCAAAGCTCTGAGTGGTTCTCTGGGCTACTCTTCCTCACAACTGAATCTCCTAAGTTACCCTTCAAGCCCAGACCAATTTCCCTGTGCTCCCTTTGGTTCAGCACTATCTGCTGCACCATTCCTGCCCCGCACCTGCTCTGCAATCCGGAGCAGCACAGTCCGAAAACCAACACGATGAACTCCATCCTCAGGAGGGAAATACGTCCCCCCAGCAAAGGGCTTGAGGTCTGGGGTCAGCCAGACACTCATGGGCCAACCACCTCCACCACTGGTGGCCTGAAAGACAAAAGGCATGTGCAAGGTCACGCAAAAAGCACCTGCTCTGTGCCCTTCCAGCACATCCAAGAGCCTCACTCAAAGAGAGATGTGTGCTTCTGTCCGCCTTTGAGACCCATCCAGACCACCCCATGTACTGGTTCTGCTTGCTTGAGGAGCACGACAATGAACAACACCCTGAGAGAACCAGTCAAAGCCTTCTGCCCGTGCCTCGCTAACCTGCACAAAGGTCATGTACACTTTGTCCACATCTGGCCGCTCTTCACGATCCACTTTGATGCACACAAAGTTATCATTCATGATCTCCCCAATCTCCTGGCTCTTGAAGGACTCCTCCTCCATGACATGGCACCAGTGGCAGGTGGAGTAGCCAACTGCAAACAAGCTCAGATGGGTGAGGAATGGTCCTTTGCAGGAAGCAGGAAAGACATGATGGGGAGAACACTCAGAGATGGGGACCCTTGCTATGGGCAAGAGCTACCGCCTCCCTGGACAAGAGATGGAGGGGAAAAGTCTCCTGAACTCTCCAGCTCTTGATCCTGAAAGCTAGCCAAGGACTCTGGTCCTGCATGTAGCCCATTTTCACAGAGAGCTACACCAGCACATGCTCCTCTCTTGCTTGGTGGTCATCCATCCCTACATGGCTAATCACACACCAGCTCAGGATGCAGCTCAGCTTATCTGATCATCTACCGACCAACATATGGAGACGTGAAACACGCCTTGTTTCTGGTTACCTGACAGGAATATCAGCTTGTTTTCTGTCTTTGCTTTATCAAAGGCTTCCTGACCCCAAGGGTACCTGTGGGGGGAAGACAAGAGTCCCTCAGCCCCATGGGCACAAGGAGAGGAAGAGGAGGAGGAAGGGCTCCCCATTGCTCTTACCAATCCACGGGGTTGTGGGCGTGCTGCAGGAGGTACGGGGACTTTTCGTTAATCAGGCGGTTGGTGTGACGAGGGCGGCTGGGGGGGCCGGGTGTCCCCACCGTGGCCATGGCTGCGATCCCCGTTAGAAACGTGCGCCTGTGACACCAAACAGGCTCAGGGGTTCCCTGCTCACCACAACAAAGCTCAGCCTCTAGACAGAGCCATGACACACCAGAGCATCAGCACCACCACCCCAGCTCCTGCTGTGCCCCAGGACAGGGTGCTGCTCCCCGCTATCCGCTCCCCATGCCGAGGGAAACCGCCTCAGCCCCAGGTAGCTCTGCTGGGGCTCAGGACACCCCGATCCCTCCTAGGACGTTACAGATCCTTCCCACTCACTGGAGGCTCAGAGGAGGCTGTTCTCCAGTTTGGCACACCCCACCCATGGTGGGGTGAAGGCCATTCCCAGAGCTGCCCCCCACCAGCACACTTTGGGGGCACACTGAACAGCTGTAAATGCAAGAGCAGCATCTGCGGGACGTGACCTGCGTGTCCTCAGGGAGAACACCCCATCAGAGGGGAAAATCCCCTCGCGTAGGGTGGATGTGGACGGCGGATGGGGCACAGGCTCTTTATGGTGACGGGAGTGAGGGGCAGGAGAGGACCAGGGAGACCACTCTGCTGCTGGGTAGATGAGCGTTTGGGTATGAGGATGCAGAAGGGATGTGGGCTGGGATGCAGGAGGTGGGAAAGCGGTGCAGAACGGGAGTACAGAGTATGCGAAGTCGTGCAGGGGCTGCGGTACTGAGTGGAGGATTTAGGGAGGATACAGCGGGATGAAAAGGGATATGGGGAGGATGTCGGGGAAGGCAGAAGTGTACGGGTGCGAAAAGGCCATATGAGGGACTCAGGAAAGTGCTGGGAGAATCTAGAGGAAATACAGGAAGGGTACAGGGCGTTGCAGGAGAATTCGGGGGACGCGGGCGCTGCAGGGAGGGCGCGGGGGGCACAGGAGAGGTGCGGGGAGGATTCGCGGAGTGGCGGGGACGCGGTGACGGCGCAGCGGTGACGGCGGGGCGCGCGGCCACCGTACCCAGGGCCGGACCCGCCCCCCCGGCCCCTCCGGTACCTGCGGGCGCAGCGCAGCGGCGCCGCCAACATGGCGGCTGCTCCCCGGGCCCCGCCCCGCTACCGGCCTGGCCGCGCCCCCGCTGCCACCGCCCCGCTCCGTCACTGACCCGGCCCCTGAGGCGCAGCCTCGCCCTCGCTGGGATCCCGCCCCTCCGGGTTCCGCTCCCGCCCCGTTACCGACCCGCAGCCGTTACCGCCCCGCGCCGCACGCTGTGGTCACTCAGCGCAGTTTACAGTCGCACGGGGCACTCACAGGCGTACACTGGGTCGCTCAGCGCAGTTTATTGTCGCACGGGCACCCGCAGCCGCCGCCGCCGCCATCGCAGCGCCCAAGCACCGCCGCCCCCGCCCCCGCGGCGGCGCCCGGCAGCGGGCGGGGGGCGGTGGCGGGGCGTGAGGGGGAGCAGCCAAGGGAGGGCGAGCCCCGTGGGGTGGGAGGACCCGCGGCTTCCACCCCCGGCCCTGCGCTGCCCCAGATCCCCGCTGTTCTGGGGCAAAGCCCCACCACGCCGGGGGTCCATCCAGCAGCCGGACGCCGTGCGCCCTCCCGGCCCACTGAGCAGAGCCCCCGCACCACAGCCCTTCGTAAGGCCTCCGCCATGGCCCCTCACAGGGGAAGGGGGTTCCCTCCTGCCCGTCAAGCACCGGGGCTGATGCTGGCTGCCCCCCAGCCAGCCCCACCGTGGTCCCCCACACCGGCCCTCGCAGGGAAAGGGGTCCCCTGTTGCCCGTCAAGCACGGGGGCTCATGCTGGCTGCCCTCCATAGCGGGCACGGGGAGGGGGCTGCGCGGGGGCACCCTCCCGTGCAGCTTAGCAGACCCCCAAGTCTTGGTGGAAGGAAAGATCATGGGGATTGTAACAGCCATGGGGAGGGGGTCCACATGTCCAGATGTCCAGAGGGTTCAGAGGAAGGGGTTGAGCCCCCCGGGCGCGGACGGCGGGGCCGGGGGGCCGCTCAGCGGCAGTAAAGGCTGCGGCAAGGTGCTGGGGAGTTCGGGGAAGGTGCCAGCCTGCGGAAAGGCACTGGCGGAGGCGGGGAGGGCAGCGGTGGCAGCGGGGACGCTGCTGAGGGGCAGCGGCAGGGATGCGCTGTAGGTCATGGAGTTGGCGGGGTGGCCGGTGGGCAGCCCGGGCACTGGTGAGCTGGTCCGCATCTGGTTCAGCGTCGGCTTGGGCTGCTCGGAGAGGTTGAAGGGGTTGGTGGGGGACGGCGTGCTCAGACCTGGCAAGGAGAAGACGGGACATGTCAGGACAGCCAGGCAACCTCCAGCAGTTCTCCTCCTCCTTTCTCCCCCGCCCACCACCTGTCCAGCGCAGGGAAGTCCCTGGCCAGCAGCCCTGCAGCACCTACCCGAGAGAAAGGGGTTGCGGGTCTTGGAGGCCGGAGTAGGTGCGACCAGGGAGTCCAGGTTGACCAGGGAGGAGGCGGCAGGGCCAAGGAAGGCCTCGGGGGTTTTACAGTCCTTCCGATCCTTGCCGGATTCAGGCAGGGAGTCAGCCAGGTTGGCAAGGTCAAAGCTCTTTGCCCCATCCTGCCTGGTGCTGGGGAACAGGTCGCCAAAGGGATCGGGCTCTGAGATGGAGGGAGGGGAGATGAGACACATAAGCCAGCTGGGAGACACCAAGGGTGACAGCATTCTCCCTTGTCACTGCACAGGGTGGCTGAGAACACATCTCACCCCATGTCACAGCGTGGGGCTGAGCCTGCAGCACTGGCCAGCCCAAGGATCCCCCAAGCCACCATGGGAGACAGCAGAGTTAGGGACATGGGTACACACAGAGACTTGGGCTGCTCCCTCAGCTGTGGGGCAGACTGAGGCCACAGCACGTGCCCATGGAAACAAGATTTGGTCACACCAGCAAGCAACTACACACAACCTGGCCAGCCCTAGAACTGCCTCCCTGCCACAGGCAGGGACAGGTCACCACCTGCCCGCTCCCAGCTCTTACCCACAGGGCTGCTGGACTTGGCCGAGGAGGGCGGCTGCGAGGGCTCCTGCTCCGGCGGCTCAGGCGGCTTTGCAAACGGGTCAAAAGCGTTCCCCCCTGGAGCTGGGGGGAAGAGGGGACACTCAAGGAGGGGAGCAAGCAGGGAGGTGGGAGGCAGAAGATGGAAGGGCAGGAGAGAGGCAGGGGTGGCTGCCTGCAAGGAGATAGAGAAGAGGGGATGCAGTGTGGTGCATGGGGGTGGGGGTCAGGAATGTGCACTGGGGAAGGCTTAGATGAGCTAGATCATGGGATCATTGCAGACCAAGACACCCCTACTGCATGCAGCCATTACCCCCTAACAAGCAGGTCCCTTTCCCAGCCCCAGCAGGGACAGGTGGAGGGAACAGGTCTGCAGGAATGCTTTAGCAATCAGCACTGGCCCTCAGACCAGGTTCTGCAACCCTCACCAGGGACCAAAACTGGGGGCATCACATGCAGGACCTGCACAGGGCTGGAGGAAACACCCAGGAGGAACTGAGAGTGACACTGAGCTTTGAAACACAGGCTGCTCCTACAACTGTTTCCCCATCTGCAGCATGGCACCTGCGACCAGCAACGGTCCTGTCTAGTCCTGGCAGGGTGTACAGGGGTCATTTGGGTTGAGAAAATAGTATCACTAATGGGACACAGCATCACGCCGCTGCTGGAGGGGCGTGGGGCTGCCATCCGCTCCCATGGGATGGCTCTATTAACTGCCATGTTAATTAAAGCAGCCTATTCTGTACAAAGATGAAGCCTAAAAGTTCCTTGAAGTCTTCAGGATGCTGAAGGATGAGCAGAGGTCCTGCTGAGGGTCAGGGGAGGGGGTGCTTGGGGAGCTGGTTGAAGGAAGAAGCGGGGAGAACCCAGAGATGCCCACTTGCAGGAGGGTAGTGATGGTCAAGGCTGTCCTCAATCCTCAGCAAAGCCAAAAGGTCCACTGAGCCTCTTACCAGGGGTTGGAGGCTGCTCAGGCACAGCAGCCCAAGGGTCAGGAGCTGGTGTAGAATTGGAGCCCTGGGGGGCTGGGGGGGATGCTGTTCCCCAGGGGTCTGCAGGAGGGAAGCCAGAAGACATCGGTGCCTTCCCCCAGGGGTCAGAGGCTGCAGTGGTGCTGGGGGGAAAGTCCCAGGGCCCAGCAGAGGTTTGCTGGGATGAGGCGCTCGCCTGGGAGAGGGGGTCCCCTCCAGGGTCTGGGACTGGCACCCAGGGATCCGCTGCACCGGTCCAGGGAGAGGCCACCGGCTCCACTTTGGGTTTCATATCTGGAAAAAAAGGGAAACTCTGGGAGAGGGGAACAATGCAGAGCACAGAGGAATGCTGAGTGGTGGGTATGTGGCCAGGAGACCATGGCTTCCAGAAGTACCACCTGGGACTGTAATGGAGTAGGCACCAGAGGGAGAAGAAGACAGAGGTCCTCCTTGTTGAGCTGCTGGGGAGGAACAGCGGCAAGGGACAACTTTTTGCCACTGTCCCAAATTTTGGCAGCCTGCAAGTTGTCCTCACCTGTCATATCCCATGGGTCAGCAGACGTGTGGCTGGAGGGGGCTGGCGCCGGCCCGAATATATCTGCCAGCTCCAGAATAGAGGACTGCAGACAGGAAGGGAATAAAGAGGTGAGAGGAGCCTGGGGCAGACCTGCAGGATCACCCGTGTGGCCACCCAGCCTCCAGTGCTGTACCTGGCTTTTCTTCATCTTATCTTCTTCTTGCTCTTCTTCCCTGCCTGGGGCAGTCTCCTCCACAGGTCTCTGCTGCAGGGAGTTCTCCCCTTGCCAGGTCCTCACTTCCTGTGGGGACAAGGGATGGGGCCTGTGAGCCCAGCAACCCTGCACACAGCACCTTCTCCAGGAGACACACCCAGCACAGGAGCTGCCACCCACAAAGTCCCAGCATCTGAGCAGACAGCTCCTCCAGGGCCGAGCCCCCAGGAGAGCACTCAGCAGACAGCCCGGAGCAGCGAAAGCAAAGCGGGCATCGGAGCGAGGTGATGTTTGGGGCTCCGGTGCCACAGAGAGAAGACCAAGTGCAAGGAGAGCGGAGCGCCAGGACTGCAGGACACAGGTACCTTCTCGTGCTCCTCTTTGCTCAGCGCGAGCGCGAGCTGCAATTGCCTTTCTTCGTCTGTACTGGAAAGTGGAGGAAGTGGCTTCTGGCAACAGAGGAAATTGGGTGACATTTCAGCTTGCCCTCAAGTCGCAGGACTGCTTGGAGGTTGTCCTTCTCCTTGCCACTGCCATTCCAGCGGCCCCCTGCCTGCCTGCACAGCATCTGTGCCCATCCAGCTGGCCTTGCCTGCAGACCCCCAGCCCAGCGTCCCTGTCCTCCCTAACCAGCTCCTGCTCAGGTTCCCTGCAGCCCCCACCCAGCTCCTTCCCCAATCCCATCACCTGCTGCTGGATTAAGGCTGGGATGATGCTAAATTAGGCAGTCAGCATCTTCCCTGGGAGGTTTTTGGGGACCCTGATGCAGTCAGTGAAGGAGAGGAGATGAGTAAGACATCCCCTTGCCCTGGCAGCCTGCTGGGGAAGATGATTTGTGACACTGACCAGCCTCAGTTTGGGATTTCTGCCAGCCCCACACCTAGACCTGAGTAGACTTTGGGGAGAGGCTGTCCCTGTACCACTATGGTGGCCCTGATCACTGCCCCATGACACTTTTCCAGAAGTGTGGGGACTCATGGGAGCTGGGAATGGGTACCCTGATAGGGGTGTACATGTGTCGACACCCATAAATGTGTGCACATGACTGTGCAGCCCAGATGGGCTCCAACAAAAAGGCAACACTTTCCAGAGAGTGTTTCTTCAGTGCTCATTGGAGCAGTGTGAGGAGGCTATAAATACTCAAATTCCAGGACAAAAATAGGGATATACACCCTGCTCTGCCTCCAAAAGAGCCTCAATCGGGCAGGAAAGACTGGCAGCAACAAGCACCATCTCCAGAGCACATCCCCTGCCCTGGCAGGACTGAGCTCATGGTGCTGGGTGCCAGCTCCAGGGGATGCCCACCAGTCCAGCCATGCAGCTCCTTGGTCCCCATGTCCCTCTGATTTTGTGTACTGGCTGTACCCACAGGCTCATGCACACTGTGCTAGCTGGTTGCTGGTGAGAATGGATTATTTAATCCA